GCCGAAAAAGAAAAAGGCATTACAATAAAATCATCAGCTGTTAGTATGTTTTACGAATTGGATGATCAAATTCTCGGTTCGTATATATTCAACAAGAATTAAATTAATATGAAAAAAATAAATAAATATTTGATTTTTTTTTTAATAGGTGATCTCAAACGGGACGGTAATGGTTTTCTAGTCAATCTTATTGATTCTCCAGGTCATGTTGATTTTTCATCGGAAGTTACTGCTGCATTACGTGTTACTGATGGTGCATTACTTGTAGTTGATGCTGTTTCAGGTGTATCTGTACAAACTGAAACTGTTCTTCGACAAGCTCTTTCTGAACGTGTACAATTAGCATTAGTTATAAATAAAGTTGATCGATGTATATTAGAACAAAAATTAGAACCTGAAGAACTTTATCAAAAATTATCAGGTATTGTTGCACGATGTAATGCTTTAATAGCAACGTATCGAAGTACTGATGATATGATTTATTCGGATGAACATTTTAATCCAAAATCAGGTAATGTTGCATTTGCATCTGGTAAACAAGGTTGGGCATTTACAATACATCAATTTGCAATAATTTTTGCTGAAAAAGCAAAAATATCGAAAGATAAATATATAGATCGTTTATGGGGTGAATCATTTTATTCATCAACGAATAAAAAATGGATTTCATATGAACAATCAAGATCAATCGATGATGCTAAACGTGGTTTTAATCAATTTATTCTTCAACCACTGTATCAAATTCTTAATGCATGTCTTGAATTAAATATAGATGAAGTTCAAATATTATTATCAAAAATTGATATTAAATTACCAGCAGCTAAACTTGATGCTACTCTACTTGATGGTAAAACAATTACATCAAATGTAATGAAACGTTGGTTACCAGCTGGTGAAGCTATGTTACATTTAATTGTTCTTCATCTTCCATCACCTGTACAAGCACAAATCTATCGTATTCAACATTTATATGAAGGACCTCAAGATGATCAAGTAGCATGTTCAATGAAAGCTTGTGATCCAAATGGTGAAGTTATGATTTATATTAGTAAGAAAATACCTGTTCAAGATGGATCACGTTTTCTTTGTTTTGGTCGTATTTTTTCTGGTACAATTGTATCTGGAACAAATGTACGTATTCTTGGTCCTGATTATCGACCAGGTTCAACGAGTGATTTACAAATAAAAAATGTAACAAGTGTTGGAGTTATGATTGGTGATCGTTGTATATCAACACATCATGTACCAGCTGGTAATGTTGTTGCATTAACAGGTATTGATAAATGTTTATTAAAAACAGCAACACGTACAACAGGACTAACAGAAAATTTCATAACACGAAAATTATGTGCATCAGAACTTGTTGTTATTGTTGCTGTTGATGTTAAAGATCCAGTTGATCATACTAAACTTGTTGATGGTCTTAAAAAATTAGTTCAAGGTGATTCACTTGTACAAGTATTAAATGAAAATGGACAACATGTTATTGCTGCTGCTGGTGAATTACATTTAGAAATATGTTTGGCTGATTTAGAAAAAACACATGCACGTTGTCCACTTAAAGTAGCAACACCAATTGTAACATATCGTGAAACAATTACTGCTGAATCACGTCAAATAGCTTTTACAAAAACAACAAATAAACATAATAAATTTTTTATGCGTGCATCACCATTAGAACCAGGTTTAGCTGAAGCTATTGAATCAGGTCGTATAACATCTAAACAAGATCCTAGAGAAAGATCAAGAATATTAGTTGAAGAATTCGGTTGGGATTTAGCTGCAACAAAAAAAATTTGGGCATTTGGTCCATATGAAAATGGACCGAATATACTTGTTGATTCAACAAGAGGTGTTGATGGTTTAGGAAATATTCAAGATGCAGTTGGTGCTGCTTTTCAATGGACAACGCAAGAAGGTGTTGTTGCATCAGAAAATCTTCATGGTGTTCGAATTGAATTACTTGATGCTGAAATTCATCGAGATGCAGGTATGATGAATTTACTGATCTTTTTTTTTTTTTTTTGGAATACTAATTTTATTTTTCTTCTATAGCTCATCGTCGACCTGATCAAATTATTCCAGCTATTCGTCGATGTCTTTTAGCAAGTTTACATATGGCTGAACCACGTCTACTTGAACCAATATTTATTGTTGATATTGAATGTCCAAGAAGTATGATTGGTAGAGTTTATGCAACATTAAATAAACGTCGTGGTCAAATAAATGAAGAAGTCGAATTAAGTGGTACAACATTATCTCGTATAAAAGCCTTTTTACCTGTTAATGAATCATTTGGTTTTACAGCTGAATTACGTCAAGTAACAAGTGGTACAGCATTTCCTCAATGTCAATTTGATCATTGGTCATTATTACCTGGTGAACCATTTGAAATAGATTCAAAATGTGGATTAATTGTTAATGATATACGTCAACGTAAATCTTTATCACAACAAATTCCAACATTGGAATCTCTTATCGATCGACAATAAACTTTTATCTTTATTTTTTTTCCAATGCTATAAGTGCCTTTTTTTCTTTCTTTCTTTCTTTGTAATATTTTCCAATAAAACGCAAAAACAAACAAGCAAACCAATAAAATTTACACATCAGTACCTAATTCTTGTTCATGTGTATGAAAATGTGTTAAAAGTATCACTTTAGTTGTTAAATCAGGTGCATGAAATTTTTCTACTATTGATAATGATGAACCTTGTTGTTTACAAGTATTCTTATAAATATTTTTTTCAATTGTTTTTTGTTTTCGTCGATAACATAAGAAAATAATAATTAAAATTAATATTAAACAAACCAATGAAAGTATTATAATAAGAATTATTAAAATAATTTGATCAGTATTTTTATCATCTTCAATTATTGATATTGATGATTTTATAGTCCGTTGAGTAGAACCTGCTGATGGCATCCAAAGACGTAATTCATCTGAAAGACTATAATTAATTCTTGTATTATTTATAGTTGAATCAAAATCAATAATAATAAGTCGATAAGATATTTGACCAGTTGAATTATGTATAATACTGTTAGCGGTGACTCATTCTTATTGCTGTCTTTGCCTTCTCTCTA